AGAGATAATCCAATATTTTTCCTACTAAAAATTTTTAAATTTGACAGCTATATACAATAACCCAACCCCTGCATTTTGAGATTTTCTGAGTATGTTTTTAGTGTTAGAGAACCACATGTACCTTAATGAAGATTTTTGAAATTCATTTTGTGATGTCTGTGTGTCTGCATGTTAGGTCTATACCCCAGTGCATTAATTATTATCTTAAAAACGCAAATGATTCATTCACTTAACCCATTTACAAAATGGTCATTGTAGTTATCTAACTATTAATCTACTTCGCTTACAAAGTGGTTTCCAAGTTTCTTGTATCACATGATAAACTGCTAAATGGCATGCAACTAAACCTGATAAATATGCGCATACAGAGAGTTATATACGTTGACCTAAATTAGAGCGGGAGAATCGTCACCTGCACTGAATTGAGTTCCAACCGACGATAACAACACGCGCTAAAAACGCAAAGGCTCATGGCTAGACGCTTGTTTGTGATCAATGACACGCTATGGCCATCTGACGTATGCGCGGGTGACGACAGCCCGCTTTAAAATGCCGGCGGCATAATAATATGGAGACATGCTTTAAGTGGTTCAAAAGGTTAATATATATATTTTATTGGTGATTGACCAAAGTAATCATGGGTAGACGCTTGTTTGTGAACAATGACACGCTATGACCATCTTACGCATGCAGAGTCGACGACTCTCTCACTTTAGCGTTTTGAAGTTTGTACTATTTAAATCCCTACAGTCGCCGAGCAGCGTGTATTCGAATATCGCGTAAACGAACGTTGTATTTTGGTCCAATATCGAACAGGTCATGACTAGTACCGTAAAATCTGTATTAGAAGCCACATCTCTAATAGAAGTTGCACCTATTCTTTTTCAACCATTCAGAATCAAAAATTCATAATGTAGATTTTCTAATAGCCACATTCCCTTCAGTTGCATTGTACCATTTTAATAGAAGCCACTGTTTCTAATACAGATTTTACAGTACTTTAATAGCAGTGTTCATTCAGTCTGAGTGTAACTTAACATTTAAGTTAAGCTGGCTTTCAGCTATCTTAGCTTGCTTTTAAAACTGACACGTACTAATATCTAAGTTGTGTGCAGTATTCTCGTCAAATACATCTTGTCTGTTTCAAAGTCTCTCTGTTCGCTCTTTCTTAATTTGTTGCACTATTCAAGTGTAAAACGATAACACCATAATTTTTTCCAACAATAACACAATTTTTATGTAATTTTGTTTAATTTCTTTGTTAATTTTTGACAAATACACGTAATTTCCCATTGGCTTTAGGTCTTAATCAAAATATTTTGAAAAAGTGGAAAAGTTTTGCTGTTTTAAATTGTGAAATGTTACAAACGTCAACAATGTTGCTCAAAGGATTAAATTAAACTGAATTGTAATATGGCTGACAAAACAACCATCTTTATTCACTAGCCTAAGGAAGCTCAATAACACCTAACTTTGTAATGATTTTCATAAATATTTATTTCATTGGCAGTTGAATACAACCAGCCAATCAGTGAGTGCAGTACTCAATGACGCCATTTTGAATAGAAACCTTTGACCAATAGAAACCTTTGATTTCAGTTTGAATATGAAGTTCATACATATTCATAGAAATCAAGAGAACTGGTTATATTGACAGAACAACTGCTTTAGTTTATGCTGTCAGATATTTTAATTAATTCAAATTGCGAAGCAAATAACCACTTCTGTGGTTAATGAACTATGCCAAGAATTCAGGAGTTTAGATTAGTTCAGGGTAAGGCGACCCACTATTTATAGTTCATGTCAATCATCCAATATTTTATAAATAAATTGTGAGCGAGATTCTAAATAGTTTATTTGGCTGTCACGTTTCTTTATAATTCATGGTTTTCCGTGAGAAATGAAATAGTGCCACTATAAATTTTGCAATTAATACGATTTGAAGAGACTCCATCATCAAGACTGCGTATTCTACTGCTGCGCTGTGGCTTTGTACGCCGACAGTATGAAACGTAAACGTGTCGTAATTCCTGTGAAATGCTTAATTATTAATTCTTACAGCTAGGAATTATTGTGATTTGATGTTTTTATTACTCATCCACAAAGACCAAAGTCGTCGACATTCTGTTATTTTGGGATTTTTGCTGACTAGCAAAATTGCGAACATTTGCCTCTCGCAACATTAAATCGGTTTATGGTACCTTATTGTCATAACGATCGTTTAACTAAAATCAAGAGTGAAACATAATTTTGACAATTGTTTTATTTTACTAGGTTGCCTTAAAATGCAAAACTTGACCTTTTCCACACCAGACTTTCTCACCCAAATTTTTCTGCACTTTTCTCTTATATTCTTCAATATTTCTGAAAATGAACCCTAATTTTGGAGCCAACTAGCAAAATTTGAGTAAATTTTCAGATTTTACTCAAAATAATTGCCTATTTTTGTCCCAATTTTGTGAGTTTGCGATGAAAAGAGAGAACTGGTGGTGAAAAGGTTGAAAACTAGTTGCCAAATATGTAAACATTTATTGTTCTATGAGAGCCTCCATTTATGTACATTCTGAATACGGTATCACTTTGAATCAAGAAACTTTGATGTACCAACTCATCCAATTTGATGTGCGAAATATTGACGTTAAAACTGAAGGCTTCACAGAACATGAACAACCTCAAATTACTCAATTTAATCAAAAAAGTCATAGAGAATGAATAATTACTGATTGGCATACAGATGTCATCGTCAGATTAAAGTAAAAAATTGTCAAGACGATGGAAATTATGGGATATTATGTTCATTTTGTCAAAAATTAAAAAAAATGTGAAAAGTGATGCCGCTCAAGGGGTTATGATTAAAAAAAATCTTAACAAACCATAAATTGTAGCATTATTGCAAAATTCGCAATAAATCAGTTTTATCTGCAATATTTAATATAAATCCTGAAATCGAGTCTAGTCAACATTTTCTTCAGTCTCGTAAAAATCTTTAATTACCGTACTCCAAGCGGTTCAGTTAGATCAGGTCACCTGTGTGGACATAGTAATAAAGTCTTAATTACTTCTGACACATTGGTTGAATAGATCAGGGTTGTGTCAGTTCAGTGTGAACATAGTTGTATCCAGTCTTAATTAGTTTTGACAAGTACAAATACTCAAATACATTGTACACAATATCAGTTAATCCCCGTCCATTCACATTATTAGTATTCATTGAGCTTGTCTAACGATTCCTCAGAGAAATAAATTTCCAGCATTAACGGCCGTTAATCTACTGCAGTAAAAGGTTCTTGGATTAAGCCACTGGGACGTTCTTAGGAATACTACACCGGGTACACGCTGGAGTAAGCACAAGTTTTCTTGCTTAGGGAGGGGCAATGGGTGTCATTTGATTTTTAATAGGTCTTTAATTAACCTTAACTACGCTATTATCAACTCGCTGAATTGATCGGTTTTCTTAATTCATTGAAAAGCGTCTAATCACTACATGCACGATGTAGAATGACCCTTTATTTTGTAAGGTACTGTAAAGGGTTAATTATTCACTGGATTATAATTTTGCTTATTTCGCTGACTGGAAAATGCGCTAAATTAAAACCCAGTGACAATGTAAAATTGAGCATAGAATACTAGTACATTATCTAAATGATAAAACCATGAATTTAAAACCCACTGAATATGCCTGAAATGCTAAATCAGCGCAATTAATTAGTCATTTTACAGTACTAAATTAGAGGTCTACTAATTAATGAAAATACTCAAAATTTACTCATTTTGCAATAAATTGTGCTCCAAGGCAATATTGACTTCAAAAAAACTGGAGGCCACCAGTCCAATTTTCGAGAAAATGATGGATGTTACTATTTTAGTGGATAGTGGTCATTTTGTCAGTATTATAACTCTTTTACCATAGGTTCCTATGGCAGAGATATTATATTATATCATATCTCAAATCATAGGCATTCACATTAGCATCATGTATTGTGAATGATGGGATATTTTTGTATGACCTTCCCGTATGAAATAAAATGTGTAGACTTTTACCTTAAAGATATATCGGTCGTGTTTTAACCCCCCCCCCCTCCTCATGTTTTTTTTTAATCTTAATACCACTAAACTAACCAAATTTTCCCCATATATAAGGATGTATTTAAAATTGGCATGTATATTCTGTAAGCCTGTAAGCCAGAAATTATGTTTACCATATACTAGTATACTGCTTCTCGAAGCCCTAATATTATAGACGGGACCCCTGTTTTAGTCAAAAAGTAGATTCCATTTGTCATAAAGACACATTTAATTTTGTTAATGCAATCTCTTCTGTAAACTATTGAATTCTTGCTGCTAGAAATTTTCGCAATTGGATGTTTTATGGCATTCAATACAAAATTTCATAATTTTTCACAGAATTGCAGAAATTTGTCTCTTCAGAAAATTATAATCGTTTATAGTACACTATGATAATCACATATCCATGTAGATAACTGGAAAATAATATTTTCATCAATGAAAAATGAATTTTGTACTTTATACAAGGTTGTCCCTGATTGGCTAGCCAACCTCAACACCTAACAATTGGACCAATCAGAGAACAGCTTGTTTGTTGACATGTTTTTCTTCATATCAAATTTTGCCTTGTATATAAGATGTGATTATTGCCATGGTAGTTTTCACGCAATCTTTCGCGAGATAAAAACACCAAAAAATTATTAAAAAAATACTCTTCACTACATTATTTGTTGAAATATTTATTGTCAGTCTAATAAACTATGCTGATTGCTTTGCACACTATGTTCAAAATTAACCCAGATATTAGAGGACATTATTAAAATGTGAACAACATATAGTTGCTTGGCTGCCATGCATGTGATAGCATTGTTCTAGTAAGTCAAGGCAGGTTGCTATGCACTTATAGCAATCACTAATATAGTGTTTAAGGTCAAGAAGTTGTACCATGTGTGAGTCTCACTGAGCAAATGTTTACATATCATTTGAGCATGTGACTAAGTTGTGACTGTCATGTGACTGAGTTGTGACTGAGAAGTGACTGGCATGTGACTGTGAAGTGACTGGCATGTGACTGAGAAGTGACTGGTGTGTGACTGAGAAGTGACTGGCGTGTGACTGTGAAGTGACTGCCATATGACTGAGAAGTGACTGCCATGTGCCTGAGAAGTGACTGCCATGTGACTGAGAAGAGACTGGCATGTGACTGGCATGTGACTGAGTTGTGACTGGCATGTGACTGAGAAGAGACTGGCATGTGACTGAGAAGTGACTGGCATGTGACTGAGAAGTGACTGGCATGTGACTGAGAAGTGACTGGCGTGTGACTGAGAAGTGACTGGCGTGTGACTGAGAAGTGACTGCCATGTGACTGAGAAGTGACTGTCATGTGACTGAGAAGTGACTGCCATGTGACTGAGAAGAGACTGCCATGTGACTGAGAAGTGACTGCCATGTGACTGAGAAGTGACTGCCATGTGACTGAGAAGTGACTGCCATGTGACTGAGAAGTGACTGGCGTGTGACTGAGAAGTGACTGGCGTGTGACTGAGAAGTGACTGGCGTGTGACTGAGAAGTGACTGGCGTGTGACTGAGTTGTGACTGGCGTGTGACTGAGTTGTGACTGGCGTGTGACTGAGTTGTGACTGGCGTGTGACTGAGAAGTGACTGCCATGTGACTGAGTTGTGACTGGCATGTGACTGAGTTGTGACTGGCATGTGACTGAGTTGTGACTGGCATGTGACTGAGAAGAGACTGGCATGTGACTGAGAAGAGACTGGCATGTGACTGAGAAGTGACTGGCATGTGACTGAGAAGTGACTGGCATGTGACTGAGAAGTGACTGGCATGTGACTGAGAAGTGACTGGCATGTGACTGAGAAGTGACTGGCATGTGACTGAGAAGTGACTGCCATGTGACTGAGAAGTGACTGCCATGTGACTGAGAAGAGACTGGCATGTGACTGAGAAGTGACTGCCATGTGACTGAGAAGTGACTGTCATGTGACTGAGAAGTGACTGCCATGTGACTGAGAAGTGACTGCCATGTGACTGAGAAGTGACTGCCATGTGACTGAGAAGTGACTGTCATGTGACTGAGAAGTGACTGTCATGTGACTGAGAAGTGACTGGCGTGTGACTGAGAAGTGACTGGCGTGTGACTGAGTTGTGACTGGCGTGTGACTGAGTTGTGACTGGCGTGTGACTGAGAAGTGACTGGCGTGTGACTGAGAAGTGACTGCCATGTGACTGAGAAGTGACTGTCATGTGACTGAGAAGTGACTGTCATGTGACTGAGAAGTGACTGGCATGTGACTGAGAAGTGACTGGCGTGTGACTGAGAAGTGACTGGCATGTGACTGAGAAGTGACTGGCGTGTGACTGAGAAGTGACTGGCGTGTGACTGAGAAGTGACTGGCGTGTGACTGAGAAGTGCATGATTGCTATGTAACTGACAAGTGACTGTTGTGTGGCATCAAAATCAAAATCTGTCTTGGTATGCCATCTTTCATAACTCAATAATTAATTAATTAGTTTAATTTTCCATTGTCAGTAGAATCATTTGATGTACAATAGAATTAATAAAAATGAATACTTAAGCTTTGGGAATTGTACACTTAAAATGATCTTTAACTTACAGGGCATTGAGTTTAATTGGCACATGAGGTGCTACTGATTGATTCATCCCAGTCGTGTTTTGACTAATTTAATACGGTAAGTACACATTATCATCACATCACAATCATTTAATACAGACACCTTAAATGCGTGAAATTCTTGCAGGTGAACTGCTATCGAGTAAAGTAGTTAAAACTGTGAATTTTATGTGAATTTCGAGAGTAGAGGTTTGACACTGCAATTAGCGCTATCACGTTGTGTATGTGTGAATCTAATACAATGTATATCGTGAATTGCGTTAATTTTACAAGAGATAAATTTTGTCAGTGAAAATTTGTCTAGAGGGTCCTACGACACTGAGTGTGACATTTTGTCTTTATAAATGCCTTGCATTCATGAAATCGTGAAAGATCTTAAAAGCAAAAATAAAACGATTTAGAGTAATGTTAATGAAGGTTGTTGTAGCCTATAAAAAGCCCATGCAAAATTATGTCTCATAAGAACAACAAAAACTATCCTGCTTTTTGTTTACTTACTTGTTTGTTTGAATCTCTTGATTAATTAATGAATATTCATGAGCTGGTAGTGAATATAACATTTGAATATTCATAAGTTGGTGATGCTTATTCATACACTTAATGAATATTCATGAGCTGGTGATGAATAGGAACTGTTAATGAATATTCATGAGCTGGTGATGAATAGGAACAGTTAATGAATATTCATGAGCTGATGGTGAATAAGAACTGTTAATGAATATTCATGAGCTGGTGGTGAATATGAACTGTTAATGAATATTCATGAGGTGGTGGTGAATATGAACTGTTAATGAATATTCATGAGGTGGTGGTGAATATGAACTGTTAATGAATATTCATGAGGTAGTGGTGAATATGAACTGTTAATGAATATTCATGAGGTAGTGGTGAATATGAACTGTTCATGAATATTCATGAGGTAGTGGTGAATATGAACTGTTAATGAATATTCATGAGGTAGTGGTGAATATGAACTGTTAATGAATATTCATGAGGTAGTGGTGAATATGAACTGTTAATGAATATTCATGAGGTAGTGGCGAATATGAACTGTTAATGAATATTCATGAGGTAGTGGTGAATATGAACTGTTAATGAATATTCATGAGGTAGTAATTAAAGTGATGTCCTGGGGGAGATTTTAAAAATTCTTTTGCAATTTATTCCCAGTAGTAATCATAAAATTATTGAATCACTTAATGTTTTGTCATGCCTTACAGTAATTGTCGATAATATCCAAACAAATCATGATTATTGCATTATGTGATCTTTTTGATTCTGACAAACAATCACGGATGACCTTGCCTACTTTAATTTCTTCTCGTTGTGGTGAGATGACAACTAATTGTGCAATTATGCATGTATGACAGTTTAATACGCTATCCAAGAATTAACCGAGCTGACATTTTTTTTTTACCAATCACTGGTTTTGACTGTTGTGGTGGTTGCATGGAGCAATCAGCAGATTTGTATTGCAAATCCTACATATGGTTGAACACCTAAAACGTTGCCTCATTGAGGAGACCAAATCCACTTTGTTGAGTTTTATACACTAACTGATGGATGCTTTATTTTGGCTGGGCCTGGTTTCTATTCAATGGATCTACTAGATGCCATAAAACATTACTAGATAAATACTGTAAAACACATAGCTACATACCATTTTAGCTAATACATTGTATGCCAACAATCTCATTGCGAGAATATACTTTATTCTAAATCAGCGACATCTTGAATTAGCGAAATTACAGGTTAGGTAAATTAGCTAAAATGACATGCTAGCTAAAAAGACGTGTTTTACAGTAGCTTTGATCATGCATATCAGTGAAAATTAAAACTAATACTGTAAAATAACTTTTTTGACACGAGTGACCTTTTCACCATCAGTCCCCTATTTTCATCACAAATTCACAAACTAGTCCTGTTTATAGTCTGCACTTTCCTTCAGAAGATTGGGACAAAAACAGTCAAATTTTTTGAGTAAAAACTGAAAATTTACTCAAATTTGGTCTGTTGGCTCTAAAATTAGGGTTCCTTTCCAGAAATATTGAAGAATGTGAGAAAAAAGTGCTGACAAATTTGGGCGGGAAAGTCTGGTGGTGTTAAGAGAGATTTTCGAGATGTTTGTTTTCTGATTCAGACGATGTTTTGTGGTTTCCTATTAACCTTTTATACATGTATTTATTAAACGTTGAACATATAACCAGAGGTACATTACTTGGGGTTTGCAACTAGCATAGTACTGTATGGTGACATCATGTCAAGATCCCATTCAAGTCTCTTCTCGTAGATAGCGAGACTGAGGCTACGACCTTCTGACATGACGCATATCAATGTTCAAGGTTTGTAATGAAAAAAATAAACTTTTCTTGTCACTATCATAGTGAAAAATGTAATACATCGAAAATGTACAGAAAATATAGTTCTCGTAATCCGTCATATCGTGGGCAGCTGTTTTGATCCACCTGGACATCCCAGTATCCTAGTTACCTCGGGCATGCACATTCGCATTTTTTCTGAGTTGGAACGCTTATGCGAGAGCGAGATTGTGACGGGATCTTGGTATCATGTCACCGTAGTTACAAACCCCAAGTAATGTACCTCTGATATAACTTATTGTTGGGGTATGAAATATAACAAATTTTAAACGGCATCAATTTCCCCCCGAAAACATAATTTTTTCCTTTTGGCCAAATTTTAAACACTTGCTCAAAATGTTGTCCATTTCCTTTGTGATCGTTACATCGGCATCAGTCACCGGTCATGCCGGTAATACCATGATAGTTTAATATAACATATTCACCGTTAAGTGGAAATTGTGTTCAGCAAATCAAAGTGAAGCGTTTTTTTGGATTGTAACGTCATTAAGCAATACTGAATAGAAAACGTGCCTTCTATGAGGAGAGAAAACAAACGATTATTTCCTGATAAAATGTTTCACGATTACACGTTGAGACAACGCCTCTGAGCAATTACACTTGAAAACAAGATGTCAATATCAATAATCGAACACGCATCACTTTGATCGCTTTGTCTCCTTTTTTTTTCGCAAGCGTATTAACCCATGTGGATTTTTCTCTGCGTCTTTCATAAGGCCACCTTGGTTTTTCTTTGCGTTTCTCACAATAGGGGTACATAATAAGTTTAACCAGAGGTACATTACTTGGGGTTTGCAACTACGGTGACATGATACCAAGATCCCGTTTCAATCTCTCGCATAAGCATTCCAACTCAGAAAAATGCGAATGCGCATGCCCAAGGTAACTAGGATACTGGGATGTCCAGGTGGATCAAAATAGCTGCTCACGATATGATGGATTACGATAACTATATTTTCTGTACATTTCCGATGTATTACATTTTTTCACTATGAATGTGGTAATACATGTTTTATTGTTTTATTACAAACTGTCTATTTCATGTCAAAAGGTTGTAGCATCAGTCTCGCTATCTACGAGATGAGACTTGAATGGTACAGTACTATGCGCGTTGCAAACCCCAAGTAATGTACCTCTGATTTAACTCATTGGAATGTCATATTTCCCCCTCCAAATCACAAAGTTTTCAGGTGTTGAAAATTTACTGAATATAGTACAAACTGTAGTTATTTTGCTCATTAATATTAATGATTAACAAAAGGTGAATGCAATTTAGGTGGCTAGCTAAAAATAAATGAAATGTGGGAAACAGAGAAAAAAATGATGCTGGCTGTAATTTTCTAAACCAGCTATTATATAAACATAATTTATTTTTAAAGTAGCCCATTAAAAGTGGTAGTTTTTCTCTTCACAATTTTGGTCCAACATTTTGCACACATTTGTGAATTTTTCATATAATTTTGGTCTATATTACATAATTTCTTACTGGCTACAAAAAATCCAATCACAAAGTGATGTGTTCTAATAGTGGAATCGCCTCATGATGGTTATTTCACCACCAGTTCCCTCTTTTCATCACAAATTCACAAAATAGTCTTGTTTATAGTCTGCACTTTCTTTCAGCATGATGGGACCAAAATAGCCAATTTTTTGAGTAAAACTGAAATTTGATTATGGTTCATTACGAGAATTATTGAAGAATATAAGAAAAAAGTGCAAAAAAATTTGGTTAAGAAAGTCTGGTGGTAAAAAGGTTAAAAGCTGTGAGAAATGATGTAGTCTGTGTGCTGTTCTTAAATTAACATTGAAGTCAAGAAAATCTATCTGTCCTTCAAAAGATTGGGACAAAAATAGTCAAATTTTGAGTAAAAGCTGAAAATTGACTCAAATTTTGTCTGTTGGCTCCAAAATCTGGGTTAATTTCTTGAAATATTGACGAATACAAGAAAATGCGCAGACAAATTTGGGCGAGAAAGTCTGGTGGTGAAAGGGTTAAAAGCTGTGAGAAATGATGTAGTCGGTTTGCTGTTCTTAA